GCTATGCCGCGCCGCTGTGTGCGTCGTATCCCTTCACGCAGCCCTGGACACGAAACCTGAAAAAGTTCAAAAAACGACAACACCCCGCGTTGATGATGATGATGATGCTGATACTGCTTTTCTCCGGGTGACATACCACCCGTACGTACGTACGCTGTGCCCCTCTTGCGGCTTTTTTTTCCCTTCCAGAGAGCCACACCCAGCAATGAGCAGCAGCGCCAAAAGGAAGAAAAAGAGGGTGGTGGGTTAAGGCTTCTCGGAAGAATACCTCACCTCCTCTCACGCCTGTTTTCGCTTCCCGTCCCACAGTCCCGGTAGTGAAGCGGTAGCGCTCCTCCTCTGGGGAAAGGTGTGTGTCCTCTCTCTCTCGCTCCCTCACTCGCCGGCTGCGATCGGACGGACTGCAGCACCGCACTCTAGGAAGGAGGGAAGAAATCCAGTCAGTTCCCTGACAACGATATTGCCCTGCTCCTTTTCCCTCCTTTCCTCACGTGTGTGCCAACCAGCCCAGACGGAGAAGGGGGGGTAGTATGCCGCCGTCGCGCCAAGCAAAGAATGACAATCGCTTTCGGTATTCCTCAAGGCATCGCAAACGATCATAACTGGTGGACAGGGCCTGTCTGCCTCCCGGGCGCGGGTCTGCCAATCTCGAGCCATTGCTTGGCCCCGGACCCGGCAATAGGCCTGGCGCACTTGATCCAGTGGCACGCGCTGGGACCGTCTTTATCCGATCCGGGGCAAGGGCAGCAATAAACACGAGGATATTGCGCGTGCTGCAGCGGTGGCGGGTAAATGCAAGTCCCGCCGTCCCCCCAATGATCCATCCATCCATCACTGTCATCTCATCCCAACAGCCCGCTGCGCTGCTGATCCTCCGCCGCTTCGCGTCTCTGAGCCCGTCGCAATATCGCCGTATCGAGGTTACGATCGACGACCGCCAGCTCGGTAAGGAGGGCCGATCCCTGTGGGGGATCTGTAACATACCTCCTACCCAAGGCAAGCAAGGTAGCAGCTTGTCAGTTGAAGCAACGTTCGCCACTTCGAGAACAGCTCTGGTTCTGAAACACACACAAATGTGGTTACAACCGTAGGTACCGACCTACCGACGGCTTACCCCTCCCCCCTATATGCATAGAACCGACCCAGGCGCAGGAGGCTCCGATGGTTCGCATCGGATATGTACGAGCAGCAGATGCCAGTGGAGCGATGGAACATGCACACACACATGCAGCTGCTTAGCGTGGGAATCCGCCGAACAGCCTCGACTCGACTCGACTCCTCTCGCCTTCGCTCGCCTGTTCTCGTTAGGCTCCCTCGGGATTTTCATCAACTGGAGAAATGACAAACAATCCATTGTTGCATGTACGACAAACCCGAAGCGCTGTTATCGCAAACACCAGCAACAACCAACGGCACCTGCACCCAACAGGCTAAAGCCCCCCTCCACGATGATGCCGGTCCACTTCTACCGATTGGGCGCAGCGCAAACACCCACCCGGGGTTTTTCTCTCCTTGTGCTGACGAGATGCTGGCGAGATCTCTGGTTCGATTGCGGGGGCAAACTGCCCAGACCTGGAGTACCGCTCTCTGCCCTATAGCACCCGGCACTATGACACTTGTGATTCGGCACATGAGGCGTGTTCTAGATACTTTGCCAAGACCCAGACCACTCTCGACCGGGCCGCCTGATCAAGGGCGGGTGTCCTCATACCGAGAGAGATATATGCTTGGCGTCATTTTGGTTGATTTGACGACTTGGCGGAGGGACATGAGACAACCGACTTTGGCTGCACTGGCAAAGAGCGTGTGCTCCGAAATTGTGCTTGAATTCTGCTTCTGCGGAAAAGAAGTGTACAAATCCAGTGCACCAATTGAATGACGACATCGGATCGTCTGCGAAAAACAGGAAACGCCTGCGACCATCAGATTGCAGCTGGTGCGCGTAACGGGAGTCGGTCTCAAGATGAAAATGACCAACCGAGAAAAGAGAAGACGGCGAGAAGGACTGTGAGACTCAAAGAAGCAAATGAAAAGAAACAAAGAAAAAAATAGACAGTGGCCCACAGACCAACCTCACCTTGTGCAGAGCACTGCGTATAGCATGAAGCTCTAGGAGTCTCGACATCCATTGATGCCCCTCTCCGTCAGAGTCGCGGCGTTATCGAGTTCCTCAACCGCAACGCAATGCCCCTCAATGCCGGCGTCTCCTCCCTCTTGATCTTCTTGCCATCATCGGCTTCGTCTCTGAGACAGTCAGGCATCCACTCCTCGATCAAACTCTTGAACCACCGGTCTAGCACCTCTTCCAGCTGTCTCAGTTGCTCTCCTTCAACCGCCTTCGGGCGCCAGCTGTCCACCGTAGATAGCAAGAACCGCCTCGTGCGCAACCCCCTGAACAGCGGCGCCCACTCCTTGCGACTCTCGCTTCCCCAGTCTGGCTCGGGCTTGGAGTCAACATAGAATGTCTCGCTGTGTGGAGTGCTCAGCTGGGTTTTGAAGGAATCGAGGTCCATCTTCTCAGATGCAATCTTCAGCATTGACTCGAGATTCTTCGTTCCGGCCCTGCCAAGCGGAAGAATCGGGTTGATCTCCAAGTTGAGAACAACATTCCGAATGAGCGGCAGCACAGCCGGCCGCTCTTCCGCGAGAGCGAGGAATGTCTCAGGCCCGTCAAACTCGACCGTTGCTCCGCGCCAGAGGGCCTTACCCAGCTCGACTGTCATGAGCGGGCTGACTTGGGAAAGTCGGCGGAGATTGTAGTACGCGGCAGGATCGCGGTGCGAGCAGGTAGCGCACGCCCAGAGATCCTCAAAGTCGAGACCGGGATCATCGGCGCGATGGATGGTGCAGTCCGGGGAGGTGAGATAGCGACTGTAGATTGCAACATAGCAGCGCGGGACGAATGGCTTCATAGCAGAGGCGGGGCGCTTCTTGCCAGCGAGTCTCTTTGCCTTTTCGATCATCTGCTTGTCGTAGGCGCTGTCCTCGTATGTGGGATCATCATTGTCGTCGGAATCATCCATGTCTTGAGTGAGATCGAAGTCGACGTCGCTGTCCCCGTCGCTATCCTTGCTCTCGCTCTCGTCACTGTCTTCATCCTCAGACGGGACATAGTCCTCTTCCTCTTCGGAGTCCGAGTCAACGATCTCGGCGACATCCTTCTTTTTCTTGGGAGCTTTGGACTTGACTGAAACGATTTTCACATCGTCGTCATCATCCTCGTCCACGACAATCGGCATCACGTTCTTCCCTACAAAAAAGTATCAGCTCAGGTCCTCTTCTTTGTTATGGCCCCCTCTGCCAAATAAACGGTTACCAGAATCTCTGAGACAAAGATGAGGGAAGAAAAGAGGACGAAAAGGGGAAAGAACTCTCATACTCACTGAGGTTCTCCGCAATCTCGGCCGAGTCCGAGTCCCAGTCACTAGCCTCCTCATCCTCCTCGCTCATCTCCGCATCGGGCTCTTCGCCTCCAGGCTTCCAGAGATTTGGCTCTTCTTCCCGCACTCGAAGCCAGTTGCTCGGCAAGTCGGTCTCATCCTCGTCAAACTCGCCGCTCCGGATAGCTTTGTACATCTCGAGCACATTCAGCGGCGCCCCGGTGCGCGGGTCGACGTTGCGTTTATCCGGAGCGCCCTCAACGAGCATGGGCTCAACCGCAACGTTGTCGTCTTCATTGTAGGGGTCAAATGTCTTATCGAAGACGTACATGTGCAGGGCCGGGCCGGTGTGCTGGGGAGGGGGTCCGGAGCTGCTGAAAGTGCGGTGGGCAGATTCGGAGCCTCTGACGGTTTCGCGGAGGGGGTCGATGAAGTGGCCGTAAATTTTGTTGCGGATTTCGAGCGGGAGTTTCATGAAGGGAAATGTTGAAGGGCTGGGGCGTATGAGTATGATAGAGATGGAGGGAACAGGGGGTTGATATGCTCACATCATGGTTGGCTTCAAAGGGGGGGCGGCCGCGGCTGCAGCAGCTTTCGAAGTAGCCTTTTTGTTGCGGTGCGCATCGTGGCCTTCGTCATCAACTGGTGCAAAGTGGAATGACCCGAATCCACGGGTGTGGCTGAGCAACTGCTCCTCAGAGTTGGAGGCGGCTGACATTGCGTTTTCGATGTTCGAGTCGATGGAAAGCCACAAATCACTGATTGTCAGAGTCGGGAACTTGAGATCTTTTTGTTCTACGCGGCTATCAGTTCGGTGTTTGCAATACTTGAGAGAAAGACGCGACGAGGTCTTGAAACCTGATCGGTGCCCTGGCCGCCTTTTAAAGCACGACAATGATCGAAAGGGTCAGACGTGAGAATTGGTGAGACCCAGATTTGGTCCCGTCGCGTCTCACAATCACAACACCTGCCGTCTTCGTGATGCTGTTCTTGTTGTTCTGTTCGGTTGCGCATTTTGCCTCATACTTTTGGCGCAAGGCAAAGTGCAAGGCAGACAATATTGTGACTCACCAAACAAATGACGGCCAACGACGTGCTGCGATTGGAAGGTGTCTTGGGAATCGTGGGGCGGGATAGGCAACAGTGCGGCACAGCATGCCTCCAACCGGACATTGCTCACCCCAAAGTGAGAGCTCATAACAGCCGAAGTGTAGAGTCCGATAGGATCCGCATGATAATCGCGACGCCACATCCAGTCTTGAAGGTATACAAGAAGGATCGATGCCTGACCCCATATCGCAGGTCTCCTCGAAAGGAGGTACTCGTTCACGTGGTTCGAGGGCTCTGTGACTGTGATTCCTGTTAGTGAGCACACAATGATCGCTGTACCAGGATAACATACCAGTACGCTCTGAGCAGCCACCTAGACACAAGACCATGACGTCGTCAAGGAGAGCTGCTGTTCAAGGCCCCATCGTAGTGGGGCCACACCTTGTGCTCCGCATAGCCATCTACTTCCGTCCCCCAGCCCTGAGACCCTCAAGATCTCCGCTTTGGACCCGCGCACAAACTCAGAACCACAAGCCAATCCAAGACAGCCACGGTCATCAACCACAACAAGGTCTGGTGGTCTAGCGGTATGATTCTCGCTTAGGGTAACAACCTGAGTAAGTTTGCGAGAGGTCCCGGGTTCAATCCCCGGCCAGACCCCAAATGCCTGGTTGCTGAGTGACCAGGTGCTTCTTTTTGCTGTCGCAACTCTAGAGTAGTCGGGAAAGCTGGCTTTTTTTGCGAGAAGAGGTGTGCATCGTCGCAGAGGTGCCAGGGCAGAGTTGTGTTCTTGAGTATCAATATTTTTGTTGCTGCTGATGCATCACAACGACGGCAGGCGGCGGCAGCAGCGAGCGTCCTGAATCAGGAAATGATGGCGAGTTCAAGTAGACTCTGTTGTTTGAGTGCGGCGGGTTGAGCTTCCAATGCTGGCAACTCAACTCGACAGAGCTGGTAGTTCTGCCGAATGAGGAACGGCAGGCATGCCGATCTGCGTTCCTTCAGACACCCTGAAAGCATTGCCCTGACTCAGCATCTGACAAGTTGTCGAGATGCTGTTTCGGCTCAACCCCGAACCCGGCGTGGTGACGAGCTCAAGCCCAAAATGCGACTCCCCAGATGAAGCGCCAATGAGCTTGGGAGAACGCCTTTGTCAGCCCGGGCGCTCTTTGGGCCGCGCCACAGGATCGCCTGGGCTGGCTGAAAATGCGGGTTTCGGGGGGAACAGGTGCTGTGGTGGGGCGTTCTGGAAGTCGCAGCATCGAACGTGTTGATGATGTTTGTCGCTCGCCGGGCATCAATTCGTCGCGCCATGGCTTTCCACATCATGCGATTGTTGACAATCAGATAATTCGCAAGTGCGCGAGGGGCCTCTGAGAAGGTTGATTCCGATTCGGGCCATGCCTGCTCGCAGGCGAGATCGGGGACTTGTTTGCCGGTCCTGTCGAGGTGCATCCTGGGCATCGCGATGCGCCATGCAGCCACTCGGGGGCCAGACCGTCCCATCGATGCCGGTCAGCGTGAGTGGCGTCGGGGGGCCGTTGTGATTGACCCGTGCATTGGAGATGGTGGCTTGGTGGCGCTGCAGCCAAGTGGCATGCAGACCGAAAAGCGTTGGTGCCGCCCTGCCATGGGCTGACCCGTTCCATTGATGCAGCCCCGTGCAGTCTTCGCGCAGCCTTCGGGCGTGGTGAGTGTGGGCGGGATTGGATGGTAAACGGCCTGCCAGCACGGCGCTCAGACTCTCAGGCACCCGTTGAATGCTGCCCCCCCAGCTTTGATCTCCGAAACGAGGCATCGCTCCGGTGCACGCCGATGACATGGCTGGAGGCGGTCCGGGGAACTTTCAGGGGCGGGTGGGTTGTGATGCGGGAGTGGCTCGCCGCCTTCATGAACGCAGGCGGGGAAAGCTGGAATGCTGAAGTTCCATCGCGCTCCAAGGAACCGAGCGTGGGCTTCGCGTGCGGGCGGCGTGGAGACCTGGGAAGCAAGTGCGGCAGGCGGGACGGAGACGGAGACGCACCTGCCAGTTGGCGCCCTAGCAGTCCGACTCCGACGAATGACGCGACAGACAAAAGGGCAGAAGCGACAAAAGGAAGGAAAATTGACCACTCACACGGCAGACGCTGCAGAAAGTTGCAGCGCCGGCCTGATCTTGGGGTCTTGGGGTTGACTGAAGACAGCTGGAGGGCGGAGCCAAGAGGCCGCATATCGCGCGATGCCTATTCAGGGCACACAGCCACTGCGCAGCTTTCCCACAACCAAGGTCCCTTTCAGCTAGATCGAGCAACGACCGCGCCAGAAAGACCTCTCTCCGTCACCCGCAACTTCCCCTCCGCGGCTCTCAGCTGAAGAGCGGGCTCTCCCGTCGCAACAATGGCCGCGACGCAATCACCAGCGCCGTCTTCGACCTCGTCCTCGTCCTCGTCGTTTGCGAACCGTCGACCACTGGCCCGGGCCGCATTACCCCCATTCACCCTTCCGCCGCCGCCGGAGTTCCCGCGGCCCACAGCGGCAAGCGCTAGCACCCTGAGCCCGCCCACCTCCACACCGCCAGCGGGAGCTGGAGCTGGAGCTGGAGCTGGAGCGGGAGCGCAACACCCACCGACCGGATCGCCCTATTCCACTGGCAGCAGTCCCGGATACACAGCAACGCGGAGATCGTCAGAGTCGTCAAGCATGCTGGTGCACCCGCAACGGGCGAGCTCGCACTCGCCGTACGATTCCCACCCCCGCTCCGGCCTAAGTCACCCCCTCAACGGCCATCCCATCCAGCTGTCGCCGCGGAAGCCTCTCCCCGGAGCCTCGGGCCAATCCAGGTCGCCGCCCTCTCGATTTACCGAGAAGCTCCCCTCCATCGCCAGTTTGATCCCTCGGCCTTCCCAGTACGGACCGCCACCCCGGTCTCCGATCCAAAATGGCCCCGCGCCGGGACCAGGGTCTGGCTCCGGGCTTCCCGCCCCCGGGTATCTCGCCATGCCGCCCGTCAAAGGGCCGTGGGGTCTCGGACCGCCGCCCGTGTCCAATCCGCGGTACTACCATGAATTCGCTGTCCCGGAGTATCCCATCGCCCGCGAATCATCGCAGCAGGACCGGCCCTTCCGGTGCGACCTCTGCACCCAGTGCTTCAGCCGAAACCATGACCTAAAGAGGCACAAGAGGATCCACATGGCCGCCAAACCATTTCCTTGCCCGACGTGCAACAAAAGCTTCTCTCGGCGGGACGCCTTGAAGGTTTGTCTCTTGTTTTCCTCTCCCCCTACTCCCCAAAAGGGGGCGGCGCTCACATCATCACAGAGGCATCGAATGGTCAAGGCCTGCTACAAGAAGAGCGACTCGCAACCCCCTGGCGAAGCGGGACCGTCGAGGTCGTCGTCGCCTCCTGATGCTCCTGACGGGGAGCCCGAGTATACGACCGCCCACTGGAAACCCCCAGAGGTTCTGCTTTCAGAGGTTTGTCTCTGATGCCTTGAATAGGCTGCTCGTGTCTAACACTTGCGCTTGCAGAAACTCAGCAAGGAGAAGGGAAAGAAGGAAGAGGTCACCGAGAAGGACGACAACGATGAGCAAGACGATGGCGAAACAGAAAAGTCCAAGACGCCGCCTCGAGAAGGAGGGGAGGATGGAGAGTCGGAACCCTGACACGCGTTGAGCTGGGGCGGGGATCTTGTCCGGGGGTCTCGATCATCGACATCGAGCCGGGTTTGGCGGCTACCACGAAGAATTGTCGCCCTTCTAGGATCGGTGGCCTGCCCGTTCATCACAGCACTGGCTGTGTCTCGGCGTCGACGAAGGCATGGTGCGGCGGTGTTGGCCAAATCACATGTCGGGAAACGCCGATGTGAACATGACGAAAGGGAACGATGGCGGAGGCGGTAAGGCTGTCTCATGCAAGGCGTTGTTGGTCTTGGTCATGGCTGACGAAAAAGAAAGGGGAGCAGTCTTTATGAAAGAATTTTGGAGGGGCGATGTGATTTTCAGCCGGCGCTTGGGAGTAGGGCGATGCATCCAACATTCTTATTGCCAGGGGTTTGTTGGCGTTGTATTTGTTGTCTGATTTTCAGGGCCACGAAATCACGAAGGATGAACTTGAATATCCGGATTTAAAGGATCCGCTCTGACAATCTGACTGATTCCAGGTCATCAAGGGACCGTCATCAGAATCCTCAACGTGTTGGTGGAGCATCTCCACCGTCATTCTACCCAAACCGCTGGGTCATCCCATCCCAAATCCCCCATCCCACACCCCTGCACAAACCCTTCCGCTCCACCCTCATCCTCGCCCTCCGTACTTGACCCCCCTTTCCGCACACAATTTCCAACAATCGGATATGGTGTAGTGGCTAACATCGCTGACTCTCACTCAGCAGCCCGGGGTTCGATTCCCCGTTTCCGAGCATCCAGGCACGACCGAACTACTGTGGGTGGTCAACATCCACACAAGATTCTTTCTCTTATCTTCCGTAGTATAGTGGTCAGTATGTGAGCTTGTCATCTCCGTCTGGAGATATCATCGCTCGAGACCCGGGTTCAATTCCCGGCGGGAGAGTTGCCTGTTCTTTTTTGGTAGGGCTGTCAACTTTTTTGGCGGGCAGGCTGGAGAGGGGTGGGTGGTTTCTTTGTTGTGTGGGAGGGGATGGCGGGTGTGGCGTTCGGTGACGGCTTTGTTCGACAGGTGATGGTACCAGTGTTGAGCAGTGGCCGTGCTTTGGTACGGTGCTTTGTTCGGGACACAACGCTGTTGTTTTTGAGATTCGACAGAAACTGGATTCCATAAGAATCCTCAGAGCTCTATGATTCACCATGCTTTGTTAATGTATCGTCATCGACAGAAGTAGGTTCTCGACTGGGTATTTGCCCTTCTACCAGATTCGACTCTTTTGCCAGTATCAAACGTATCACAACAATCGCTGAGATGCCAGTACCCCAGAGGAACGGGCCATACGGCGGCCTCCTCCTACCAGGCGAGAACAAGATGGCTACGGTTGGTCTTGTTTTCGAGATGGAGACATTGATGACAACAAACCCGGCTGGCAAATATGTGTACCGCAATGGAGCCCCAGGGGTGCTCCAATATCTCCTGAAGAACAACATCGCATTCGTTGTCCTCTACAATGGCGTGGAGCTCTCAGAGAAGAAAATGGCCCACCTCCTGAACAAAACTCTCTTTCTCCCCAATGAGCCACACATCCCCATCGAACGAATGGTGGCTTCCAGCTCCCCCCTCCGTACCAGCCTTCCCGCCAGCATCAAGGACTACGGTTCCCAAGACACCATCCTGGTAATCGGCGGCGACGGTGAAAAAGCCCGCAAGCTTGCCTACCGGTACGGCTACCCTTTCGTCTTGACCACAGCCGACATCGCCCGGCAATACGACAACTTCAGCCGGTACCGCAGCTCTTCCAATCATACTCCCAAGGAAAAGCACGGCTGGCGTCTGACAACCCGCAACAAAAGCCTCAAAGTCCACGGTATCCTCGTCTTCTCGGAGCCCCTCGACTGGGAGCTTGACGCAAACGTGCTCATCCACCTCTGCCTCAACTGCTCCCGCCTCGGGTACGACTGCGGCCCTGAGAATGCCGAGCTCAAGCCCGAGGAGCTCGCTGAGAAGATTGCCCGGCACATGCCTCCCATTCATATTTGCACGGTGGGCATTGGGG